CTGAGCAAAGTGCTCAAGAATGGGGAACGCCAACACAGTACCCAGTAGGACAGTTGGCAGGGCACTCAGTGACATTTTAAAGATGTTTGCTCCCAGACCACTCAGCCACAAAGGACAGTTTCACAGCCACTGGGTGTTCAATTCATAGAAATCAATTATGGCCAGCTGAGAGAGGCCACCATCCGAGGCGGAGTAAAATCATGAAGCCTTGTTTGTTTCTTTCTAACAGGGACTGTATTTGTTACGTTCTTCTTGGTGGCATCTGGCATTTTTTAGCAAGGGATCAACAGAGATGGCAACTTGGGACTTCTAAGAACTACTATCTGTTTACCACAATCTCCATATTCAAAGAATTAGTAGCACGTTTTATTTTTTAAATGTGCGTTTTCTTTTTATGACTTTGCCATCACTTGGAAAACCCCATTAACTTTCAAACCACAGAAAACAGTTCAGACCATGATCACAAGGCAGTAGACAGATACCTGGAGATTTAACAATTGTGAATCTATCTTGCTATGAAGTTAAAAATCAATCTCTGTCATTCATCTGTCCATCCCTCCATCCATCTCATCCCAATCTTCAAGCTGGATAGTTGACTACTGACCCAATTCACAGAATGTCTACTGACCCAATTCACAGAACGTCTACTGACCCAATTCACAGAATGTCTACTGACCCAATGCACAGAATGTTTTTTTACTATTAAAATATGACTCAGTGTGGAGTAAAGACGGATCACCCATTGATGAAGAGTTAAAGGAGGAAGATAAAAGATCCAGGGGCTTTCCTGATGGCTCAGCTGGTACAGAGCCCACCTGCCAATGCAGGAGATGCAAGAGACATGAGTTCAATCCCTGGGTCTGGAAGATCCCCTGGAGAAGGATATGGCAACCAGCTCCAGTATTCTTGCCCAGAGAATTCCATGGACAGAGGAGCCTGGCGGGTTATAGGCCATGGGGTCCCAAAGAATCGGACAAGACCAAGTGCATGCACACACACGGAAGGTCAGTGTAGCCATTATTGAATTCATATAATAATGACAGGTGGTATTCAAACTCTCTCTTTGTCAACCATCTGCCCTAAGATTCTTTTTACTGAGTTCATATTTCTTAGGTATCCCATTTTAGAATAAAAGGCAGGCACCTCTTAACAAGGTCACAGAAATCTGGTCAGCCTTTCCACTATAGGAGAGACTAGAAATCAAAGCTATCAGATGCATGGTTTGCTTCTTCACCTCCTTAAAACATTACTGCTGCTACACTGTAATAATGCATAAATTAATGCAGAAAAAAATATGGCCTCACAGGTAAAACCACAGCCAAGGCAGAAACATGGCAGGGTGGTAAAATCAAAGATTAGAGAGTCAGACAGACTAGGGTTCAAATTTGGTTCTACGACAGAACAGCTGTATGTTCACGACAAGTTATTCACACTCCTTGTAGAAGGCTGTGGTTCATCACCTACAGACTGAATTAACAGTCCTCAGAATGTGGGTTTAGAGAGATAATACACTAATTAATTTAAGATGGTAAAAAAACCTAAGTATAATTATCCTAAGAGTATGGCAAAAATGATGAAGGTGTGAAAAGAGATGCCACAGTTTGGGAGCTACTGCCATAGCAACAAGGAGGAAGCCCGAGGGAGGGGACACAGGCCAGCACTCCCTGATGCAGGGTCAGCTAAGGCAATGAGAGTCTGCTTCCAGAAGGCACGGCTTGTGTGCCCTCAGCTGGACACCACAACAGGTGGGTCAGCACTGAGTCAGGAGTCACGCTGGAAGCAGGTCAAGCCGGTGGCTGGACCCCAGAATCCAGCTGGCATGACTGAGAAGCCTGCACATTCAGATATCTGGGTGTTATCGCAGGAAATACCAAAACGTGAACTGAGCAGGAAGAGGGGTCGGATGCCATGGCTGTTTCCAAGGTCGCATCCAAACCGGCAGGAACTTCCCAGGAGACAGAGCACAGCCCCAGGAAGGGCGTGCGTGGCAGCCCAGACGGATTCGTCCTTCAGCCTTAAAGGCACACAGGTCCGGATTCTGATGCGGCTTCCTGCTGCCTGCAGTTACTTCTCCCTCTGCTCTCCCAGAGTAAGGCTCCGAGAGAGGGGCACTTTCTTCTGTGCACATCTGATGGGTCTCTCCCCAGCAGCTTGCTCCCAGAACAGTGAAGCAGACCGTTGCTGCTGACGTCAGAGGAGGCTCTCTATGCCTCCATCAGAGTCCCTTCTCAGATCCAGCGCTGGGTGAAGAGATGGGTACTCCTGTCTCCTGGACTGAAGCACAGAATGGATTTTCCCATAGAAAAAACTGTTGTTAAGTAGAAAGTTTTGATAAATAATGTTTTGTGTATGTTCCAGGATTCTCTGCAAGCTAGCCTGGGAACCAGACTACCAACTATACTACCGCATCAGTGGCAAAATGAAAATATGGCTGTAAAAATGAAAAGTGGCTGTAAAATGAAAATATGGATTGCAATTGTCACATAAGTGGTGGCTGCCTATACTTAAAAATACAGCACATTCCTTACTAGAGAACATGTAACACTACATATCTTAAATTTCATCTTTCTTTTAACATCTTCCAGAAAAAGATTGGTTTTATCATCAATTATGGCTGGTATTCAAGTTTTATACAATTGAAAAATAACATCCTCCTCCTCTCATAACAAAAGAAGGACCCAATCTTACATTTGAAAATAATTCTAGCTAGACACATCAGGGTTTCCCAGGTGGCAGGCGCCAGGGGTAAAAAAATCTGCCTCACAGTACAGGAGACGTGGGTTTGATCTCTGCGTCAAGAAGATCCCCTGGAGTAGGAAATGGCCACCCACTCCAGTGTTTGCCTAGAAGATTGCATGGATAGCGGAGCCTGGCGGGCTACAGTTCATAGGGCTGCCAAGGAGTCGGACACAAATGAGCAACTGAACACAGCACTAGACACATCAAAGTAATTCCAAAATACATTCTCTAATCATCTCTCATCTGCACCAAGTTGTTCATGGGATGAACTGAAATGACCATCTTGACTCCCACACTGCAATATTGCCAGTAAATTATTCCTGGTTCTGACCATAAGTGTTTAACCCAATATTTTCCACATTTGTTTGAAGAAAAGAACTACATGAGGCACTTTTAATTAAAGACAAGAATGCCAGGCCCTAGCCCAATAAGAAGTCAGAATTTCAAGACAGAGGTCCGGGAGTCGTACATTTAAAGACTGCTATCCCTGGTGAGGCTCCCCTGGTGGCTCAGTGGTAAAGAATCCGCCTGCCGAAGCAGGAGACGTGGGTTCGATCCATGGGTGGAGAAGAATCCCATGGATAGAGGAACCACGGTGGGCTACAGTCGATGGAGCTGCAAGAGTCAGACGTGACTTAGTGACTAAACCACACCACCGCTGTGATTCTCTCATCCACCCAGTGGCTCTTAGCTGGGAGGGTGAGTTAGGATCCTCTGGAGCGCTTGTGAAAACACAGACGGATGAACCCCAGCCCAAGAGCTTCTGATCCAGTGGGTGTGGGGTGAGGCCCAAGAATCTGCACTTCTAAAAGGTCCCCCAGTGATGCTGGTGCTGCTGGTCTAAGAACCACACTTCCAAAGCCACTTATTTAGCCTATTTAGCAAACATTGCGGCTGAATGCGGTCTTTTTTTTTCTTCCCTCCTTGGTAGAAAAACAACACCAGACTCACAAGACTTCCTTTGGAGCAATATCCCTTGTACTTTCTGTTTAATGTCAGACAAATTAATTTACTACTGCATCTCAGCTATCTCTTATTGTGAGAAATAAAAAGGTAACGCATGAAAAGAGGTTTGGTCCTGTGACTGGCACACAATGGGCCTGCCTTAAACATCTGTGTACTTTGATCCCCCTCTGAATCTGCTGAGGTCTAGAAGTAGGTCCCCAGATTTGTTACACGCACAAAATTTCCTTTGGTTAAAACAAACAAACGAGCAAGCAAACAGCAGCTGACTGCATCTCTTTCTTGTGAGCTATCATGGAGTTACATTTTGAATATAACATGTCGAACGGGAGAATACTCAGCTTCCAAACTCACATTTTCCCATGGAAATAAAAACAGAAGACAGATTAGATTCTGATTAGCCTCTCTGTTTAATTTTAACCAGGCTGAGTTTAGTACCAAGGTGTGGGTTCTTTTCCTGGCAGACCTTTATTATATTGTTTTGGCTATTTCTTGTGATCTGAAAATCATACACATGAACCGCAGACTTTGAGAGTCAGAGGTGCCCTGGAGGCCATCGAGCCCACCCACCCACTCTAGGAATAAACTGTAAACATATCCAGTGTGCAGTGGCCTGCTCTCTTCTCGGATAGCCAGTGAGAATGCGCTATTTCCACGAGCCCCGATATGCTCTTCAGATAACTCTAGTCATTAGATTTTTTTTGCCTTCTAAGCAAAAATCTTTATTTCTGTAATTTTAATACCCCTGGTTCTAGTTTCTCCCTCTATAGCGCCTGAGTCTGTCTAATCTCTCCTCCAACTGACAGCATTTAAAGTATTCTGAAATGGCTCGGACGTCTCCCTTGTCTGTTCCTTTTCTGTCTAAACATTCTGTTTTGTCAACCCATCATCAAAATTTCCATATACGTAACATCCCTGGTTCTCCTCCCGTGGGAAAGTCCACCTTGAGGCTATTTCTCACTAAAAAAAAATTCCATAACATGCTTCATGTTTTATTATCACCCACAGAAACAATAAATGTTAAGAACAGTGGAGTGTTCTTTCCCAAACAGAGCTTCCAAGAGCCAGAAGTGACAACCACACACAGCGACACTGTAAGACCTCAGAAGTGATGCTGGTGCTGCTGGTCCAGTTCCAAGTCGGTTTCTGGACCGACTTGGAAGCGAGAGCCCGAGGCACGTGGATGTGGGTACCATGATCCTCCTTGAAAGAGAGATACCAGGCTGCCACTTAAATTATCCAAGACCCCAAACGTTTCTTTCCAAGGGAGACAGACAGAAACAAAAAGTACTTCTTACTTTCTACGAAACATCTCTGCAAATATGCAGCCAACGCTCCAGAGGTCCACAGGGGTGGCGTAGCTGGACTGCAGTAGGACTTCGGGAGCGCGGTACCACAGCGTGACGACCTGCAAGGACAAGCGGAGCGGAGCGTTACTGGGGGCGATGGCCGTCGTTCATGCCTCCCGAGCGGTCTCACACCAAGACTCGGTTTGGAAAGAACCCCTAAAATCTTGTGGGGGACACTGAGATTGGAGCAGTAAGTAACGTGGGCTCGTGGCTGACAGGTCAGCCCCACAACCTGGGTGCCCACCTCAGGCTCTGGGCGTCACTAGGATGGCAAAGTAACTGAATGTCAGAAAGCAAAAGCAAAGACTTTAAAACGCCAGCAGACAAACCCTTACCTTAAAACTGTGGTTTCTTTCTTAAGGGGCTTTAAAGAAAACAATGCATGTAAAACAGGTGGTGGCAACGTGCTCAGCTCAATTCCCAGGTCAGCCATTTGGGGAAATTAGAAGATGATTCCAGGCGTTGCTGGACGGCGTCCCTGAAGACTGCAGAGCACCCGGGACAAGTCAAAACTACTCTTATCACGAGACTGCGGGGAATCAAAACAAAGCCCCTTCAATGCCACTCTGCTCAGAAAACAAAACACGAGGGACTTGAGAGAATGTGTGACCCAACTGCTTACAGCGTGTGGAGAAAGTCATCCAAAGGGAGGGACTCCCATATGGGAAGAACCCTGTTTTATACCGAGCGGTGTCGTAACAGACAAAGCAAACACAACAAGCTGTTTCTGCAACACTGAAAGGTGAGGGAATCATATCATTCAGGTTCTAGATTTATAAGAGCAAATAGGGGTTCAAGTGCTTCTTTTCAGCAGAAATTCCATGGATGTCTGAATCGAAGATATATTCTTTCTTGTCAGGTAAGGAATTCAATACCACATCTATTACATAAGCATTTTACATTATTCAAATTCCTCTTATCATTACTCTGTTTTACCTAATTGTACTTTCATTGATGTCTATCTAAATTTCCTGAAATTCTGTTTATCTACGTTGATGCTATAGAACGTAATGCATCAAGACTGCAGTAGAAATTTTTGGAGAAAAAATGGCTGCCATTAATTTCCTTCTTTCCTTATATACACACTCCTCTCATTAGAGACTGGAGTTTAATTTACCTTCCCTTCTATCTGAAGTGGCCTTAGTGACTTGCTTGACCAACAGAATATGGTGGAAGTGACATCTGAGACTACCAAAGCCAGGTTATAGGAAGACTGATTACCTGGGCCTTTTTGAACGTTTGCTCTTAAGATGCTTCCTTTTGGAAACCAGCTGCTATGTGGTGAGAAGCCCACAGAAATGTTCCAGCTGACAGCCTCATCTAAGCTCTCAGCCGAAAGGCCATGTGAGCGAGCCATCTTCGACACTGCAGCCTGACCAGCCACCCCAATAGATGACTGTGGGTCCTGCCAACATGACATGGAGCAGAAAACTGCCCAGTTGAGTCCCACTAACTCACAGGATTCTGACTGATAAAGAAATACATGACTTAGTCACACACAAGACCACATCACTGGCTTTCAACCCTGACTGTGTACCAGGATCATCCATGGGGCTTCTAGAAAAATACATGTGTCTGGGCCTTATCCTGCCCCTAACTTAATTAGACATCCATGGGTGAGGCCCCTGGAGTTCTTTTTCTTTCTCCTCCTTGTTCTTTTTTTTTTTTTTTTTCCTTCTTTTGGTTAAACTTCATTAGGTAGCCCTAACCCTTGTCTAGGTTTGAGCACCACTCAATTATACAAATGCATCTTTCAGCTCCTGCCTTAATGTTTTTTGATGACCCTGTTCTAGTCTGGCAAACTCTACTTTCTGCTCCACTGGTTGAAATTCTGCTTCTCCTACAAAGCTCAGCTTTGATAACATCACCTCTCTGGACCCACTGCTACCGAAAAATCGTACCTTGTAATATAGTTCTCACAGAGTCAGACACAACTGAACTGACTTAGCACATAATGTTGTTCATAATATGGGTCATTCCCGGAGCCATGGGCCTGGTTTCACCCATCATTATGTCTATAAATGTCCATCACAGTGTTGAGCATGTAACAACTGTGTTTCAACAAATACCAAATTGATGATTTTAAGGCAATCATTCCTAGAAGATAAGTGGGCAAAATTCAACCCCCAAAGAGAAGGTATTCACTACTTTTGTTAAGAAAAGTGTCTGATTCTGGGCTCCAGTGTCTAGTTACATAATTTATTTCTGTATTACTAATATTTCTAGCTGGAGGAACATTTTCCTATTTCTCTAATACACTGTAAACCAAGGTGCAGGGGCAAACAGACCATAAAGTTCCAGTCCAGTGGTTTACAGATATACACAGATATTGTGAGATTACAAATTTATCTTCTCACTTCAGTTTGAAATAAAGTCAAACATATGAGATGAAAAGTTTAATCTGAATATAGCATTATTTTAAGCTGTTTAAAGAGGCTGTGATTTCTGACTGATTACTCAGTCGAAAACACTTTAGTAGAACTCTCTTCATTTTTAGTACTTTAACCAGTGATACTTATTATGATCATCAAATAAATGTTTAGACAGCTAAAATAATAAGAAAAATGTTGATACATGTAAGAAGTTCCTTTCGTTTCCTTTTAAAATGTAGTTACCACTCAAAATGGATAATGCATTTTTATCAAAAGCTTTTAAAAATGTCTGTTAATAATAACCATTTGACCATTCTCTTTTATTCTATTAATGCTAGATTAATTACATTAATAGATTTCCCAATATTGTACCACCCTTCTCTTCATGGAATAAATCATTCCTAATCATGGTTTATTATTCTTTTATTTGACTTGGATTCTATTTGCTAATATTTATTTAGGACACTAACTTACACTGATCAATGAGACCAATCTACAGTTTTCTTTTTGTGTGTAATTTTTCATGTTTGTTGTTAGGGATATATGCAAACTGTCCAACCTTTACTATATTCTGGAATATTATAAACAGCATATGAATAATCAGTTCCTTGAAAGGATGCACTTGTAAAACCACCTGGATCTGGACCTTTCTGAGCAGTATGTTTTTAACAGTCTCATGACTTTCTTCTTGGTAATTAGTCTGTTCAGGTTTCAACATTGTTTTTAGTCAATTTTGGTAATGATAAGTAATTTCCCTATGAAAATCCTTAATCTATTAAATTTATACAGTATTTCTTGTAAATATTTTTATCTCATTTATTTTTTTGGTTTTCTAAGAAAGGAAATCTCATTTTTTTTTCTCTTTATATCAGTCAGGGTTGTTAAGAGTTTAGTTACATTATTTATTAAAAAACTGACTTCAAAATGTCCTTTCATTTTGGGAGGCTTACTGTTTTATAATTTATTGACTTCTACGTCTATCTTTTTAAATCCTCCCTCCTAATTTCTTTGTTTTCTAAAATTTATTTCTGAGTTGAAACTTGGATAATTTATTTTCACTTTTGATTAATGATAGAACCTTTAGTTATACATTATTAAATAAACAATCCTCATTTTTGTTCAGCTTTAAACAATACATAATTTACCTTAATTTTCTCTTTAAGAATAAACTAATACGATTAATTATTTAGAAAAGAGTTTTAAAATTTCCATATGATTAGATATTTACGGTTAACTTTTAATTGCTGGATTATTTAATTGCTAGTCCTATTACATCACAGCCGGAGAATGCAACCTGTAGAATGTCTATCCTTTAAGACTATGCACATAACTGGCTTTTGTTTCATAGGATGTAAGAAGAGTACTCTGTTTTAAGTGTAAAGTTCTTTATTAATTAGTTTGTCTCACACAGATCGTTACTTATATTTTTATATACTGTGTCAAACTGAAAGATAATTGAGTCTGTGCTTTCCTTCCCCCAGAATCTCCTTGTACTTCTAAGGGTTTCTGCCTTAAACACTCTGGCTTTATGTTTTAATATATGGAATTAATTACAACAAAATATTATTCAGATAATAAAAGTTTGGGTGACAGTAGACATAAAGTACAAAACAAATACACAAGTGCTTCTAAGTCAGTTATAAAATATGATGGAAAAAGGATCACATTCACATAGTAACAAAAAAACGTGAAACACTGAGGAATTTTAAAAAGCAAGATCTGTATAAATGATGCACTATTATTGAAGAATATAAAATAAAAACTAAATAAACGGTGAGACAGACTATGACTAAGATGGGAAAAAGCCATATCATAAAGATAATTATCATTCCTGTATTTAACACAAAAATGTTAAGACAATCCAATGATGTGGGGGATTAACTTAACTTTGATAGTTAGGTGTCTCTGGTGGAATGATACTTAAGAAGAGCCAAAAACAGTTTGAGAAATTAGGAGGAGGGGGATTTGTTCTCTGTCACCAAAATATATTCTGAAGTGAAGTGAAAGTCGCTCAGTTGGATCCGACTCTTTGCAACCCCATGGACTGTAAGTCCATGGAATTCTCCAGGCCAGACTACTGGAGTGGGTAGCTGTTCCCTTCTCCAGGGGATCTTCCCAACCCAGGGATCGAACCCAGGGATCGAACCCAGGTCTCCCGCATTACAGGTGGATTCTGTACCATCTGAGCCACCAGGGAAGCAGGTACAGCAAATAAAACAGTAGGTGCCAACAGATTAAAACATGAATAAAGTCCAGAAAGAGAATGAGATGTTTACAAGGTGATATTTGTAAGATATTCTGATAGGTAGGCTGAATTTCTTCTTAGAGTGAGACAGAAAATGCACTTCAACAGGTGAAAGCAAGACAACTGGCTGTCCATTTGGAAGAAAAGTTAAGTTTGATCCCTACTTTATATCATGTGTAAGAAGAAAGAAACTATACTGATGAGAGATCCAAATGTAAGAAGCAGAGCTAGAAAAATGTATTAGAGGAAAACAGAAGAGGACCTTGGGATGTGGAGGCCTTTCTCAGCATGATGGGTAATCTAGAAGCCTGAAATGAAAAGATATACAGATCCAGCTACTTAAAACTGAAATCCTCCTCACCAAACACTGTAAATAAAGGCAAAGGGTGAACGATAACCTGGGAGAAAACATCTAAAACAAATTATATCAATAAAACAATAC